GAGAGAGAGAGAGAGAGAGAGAGAGAGAGAGAGAGGGCTGACCTCATGCTACTTCCATCTATAGGATGAGCAAAATCGAATGAATCTACGGGTAGAACATGAAAATATACACCGACTGAAAATGGACCATTTATGGTACACACTCTGTGGATGGCGGGGTGTGACCAGCCAAGTACCAAATCCCCATTTCTCGAGACGGCCGGGACCTTGTCCCATCTGAGGGCACGCTCACACTAGGTACCCAAATTCCCAAAAAATGGGAAAATGGGAACGGCCGTTTTGAGGAAATGCGGCCCTGGCCGGTCACACTGCGTTCCCAAAACGCTAAAGACAAGGTCGCTACATCGTGCTCTTCGAGGTGGTTGTGCAGGACGCCGGTCACACGCTGGATACCCAAAAGGGAAATGCAATTTTTCGTTTTTTATAATCTGCTTTTTTCCTTTTTTTTGGGGGGGCGTCTTGACTGCTGGCCGTTTGCACCAAAAAAAGGGACACGCACGTCTGACCGTTTCTCAAAATTCGTTTTAGTCAATTGATAGGCCGCTAATATCGTGGGGTTCCATTTTTTCCCAATAATGCAAGATAATTCAGAAAAAGATTTGAGAATTTGCGGTAACCTCCAGAGGTCACCGCAAATTTCCTCCCCCCGCGGCTTCGCAGGCCGCTGACAAATGGTCACCCCTTTTGAGAATTTGGGCAGATGTTCAGCATGTGTGACTGTCCGGGAACCCTTTTTTTTTGTGGAAATGGGGATTTGGTACCTGGTGTGAGCGTGCCATGAAATGGTACAACTGTGTGACGTGAACCATGCCCAAAACCTCAAATCGGCCCGGATTCGGGTCCCAATCGCGGTGTGAGTATGCCCTGAGTATGCCGTCAGTTGGTTGGCACCAAGAGTGCCGCAAGTGGCCAGCGGGTACTGAACCCACGCCCTCCTGAAATGCCACGTGCGTGCCCAAGCCACGGAGCGAGGCCGCTTGCTCTTTAGGTCGGCTTCTAGTGCTCTGTGTTCTAGTCGTTGATCGTGGCGCGAGTCCTATAGATAGGGCTGCCCGTCCACTTGGATCGAAGGGGCGTGTCATTCTGGACTCGGTGGTGATCGTAACCACGCATAGAGGAGAGAGGAGCGGATCTTTCCTGCGACGTCGTTGGTGGAGGTAACTAGGAGAGAGAGCGACGGATCGCACGTGTCTCGGAAAGGAGGATCGTCTTCTTCCGCGGGCTAGGACTCATAACCGGAAGAGGTTCTCATCGTCGAAGGTGTCGCTCGGGAAGGTGTATAGTCGGTTCGGCGGTCCGACGGCTACTATGGCGGCGGCTGCGCCAATGCTGCTGCTGGTGCTTGTCCTGCAGCTGGCAGCTCATGCGTCCGCGATATCGCCCCCCGGGGATTCGGTTCGGATCAACTACTTCAGCGCCGCCGGGAGCGGCTGTCCTCCCGGGAGCACGCAGGGGTCCATCTCCAGTGACGGCAAGGCGCTGACTGTGATGTACGGCAACTACACTGCCTCGACGGATGGGTCGCTAGCGGATCAAAGGAAGGCCTGCACTGTGACGGTCAGCCTGAGCTATCCACGTGGCTTCGTGGTGAAGGTGGGGACGGTCACACTGCGCGGGTATGCTAACCTCGAGAAGGGCGTGACGGGGACGGTGAAGACGCAGTACTACTTCTCTGGGCTGTTGGGGACGGCGAAAGTCAGTCGCACCATCAACGGCCGCTTCAACAACAACTTCGAATTCACGGACCAATTTGTCTCCGCGGTGTACAGCAAGTGTGGGGTGCAAAGATCCCTCAATCTCTTGTCGGAGGTGCGCGTTAATCCCGGCAGTTCAGGAAAGAACGGAATCGTCACCATCGACTCTCAGGATCTGGCTCTCGTGCAAGTCTTGCAACTCATCTGGGAAACCTGCTAGTCTACCACGTGTCAGTGAACGTCTGCCAGCCGGCGAATCATTAGCGGACTAGAAGCCTGTAGCATCATAGCCACGGTGGTCAGCAGATCGATCGACTGGTCAGGAGGTAGAGGGACTGGTCGGAAGGTCGAGTGGTGGGTGGGATGGTAGAGCGGGTGGTCGGGAGGTAAGGTCGAGCGACTGGTCTTATGGTGAGGTCGAGCGACCGGTCGGAAGCTTGAGCGGCTAGAAGGAAAGTCGATTGTGTGCCCGGAAGTTGGATAAGTCGGTGGACTTGGTGTCAGGGCTCAGACAACTCTGCGTAGGGCATTCTGCGTATGTTTTCATACAAATATGTGTATGTGTATTTATTCAAGTTGGAAGGTATTTTGTGAATTACAATATCATATTGCCACCGAACTTAGGTGTTATTTTCTTGAAGGAGTAGTTGGTCGTCGGAAATTCCTCATCTTGCCCGCAGTTTGCCGCCACTTTGTGCTGTTTGGCGACTTTTGCTGCCGTTTTGGTGGCGCACTTTATGCGTGCACAGGTCCCCTGCCGAAATGCAACGAACACGCGTCTGTGTGTGTGTGTGTATGTGTGTGCTTGTATGCTTTCTCGTGTCCGGAAGCGAATGTATGGCCATTGCTTTTCTTTCTTTTGAACGGCGTGCAGCGGTCCTCTGCCGTGAGCAAATGACGTGGACTGCGTGCCTGCTCAGCTTCCCATGGCAGACCAGCTTTCGCCACGTGTCTGTTCCTTCTGATAACGTGTGTGCTGGCGATCTTGGACTGCTGAACTTGCAATGCGCTTGCGATCGTCTTTTTTCGAATTTTGTGTTCACGATCATGATGAGGTAGATAGTCGAAGGGGAGAAAAGATAAATGATGGAAAGCAGTCATGTTGGTCCGATGCTGTCCGTGCTGCTATCATGGACCGTTGATGATACACTAGCAATCACCCACACAGGCCGATCTGCACTGAATGCGAAAGCTCAGGACAAGTCAAATCGAATCCTACTTCGAAAATGGATTGAGCTTGCGGTGATGCGCCGGCGATGTTGATGGATAGAAAATGGGATGTGCTGGCCAGTTGGGATCGCGCGAGCGTTTCTTCTTCTTTCTTCATTTTTGTTTATTAATTCATTTGTTTATTTGTTAAGAAAAGAACTGTGTATCACAAAGTGGTAACCTGGATGTTGCCTTCGTTTGCTTTTATTCGTTTGTTTTTTCGGCTTTTATCGTCGTCGTTGGTTTGTCGGCTGGTGGGTAGGGAGAGGTGAACATGAGCAAAGATTATAGCTTCATAAGCAAGAAAACAAAAATTAAAACTCACACGCGGAGTGAAGAAGGACAATAGCTCCGCATTGGTTTTCTCGCGACGTTTTCTTCTCCTCCCTCGATATAACCGCTCGTGAAGTGAAGAAAAAACAACACGAGCGGATCTCCTTTTTTTCCGTTCCTACGTTTTGCCGTCCTGACTTGCACTTGGGGGATCCTTCGATGCACCTGACCACATTAGTCCAGGCGTGAATGTATCTGACCGCAATCACGTCCAGAAACTCGTCACAAAGAAAATGTCCTCAGCGAAAGTGATGGTCGAGATTCTGAGAGCATGTCCGACCCATTCTCCAGCGTTCCAGTAGCGAGGTCCCAATGACGAACAAGGGTGTGAGTGCAAGCGAGAGTGGGTTGTGTATGTAGTGTGGGAGAGTGGTGGCCATAGCCTCCGCTGCTACTCGATGAGGGGTGGGGGACGATGAGGAAAGGGAGGCGGGGCTACTGACAAAACATAATGCTCGGTCTTTGCGTTAGCCGGTGGGGGAACCATCTCTGAAAGAACACAAGAAAACAAAAAGAGGAATAATAGAAAGAAAAAGTTACCGGAGGGACATGGCGCGTTCATAGCGACGTCGCTTTTTTTATTTCCATGTTTTTTTTGCACGGATCCTGTTCGATGTCGGCTCTACTTACGGCAGTATTGCGATGTAGAATTAGCCAAGTATTTACGAATAGAAGAAAGGGCTTATCTTTATTGTGACTGTAGTAGGCAGGTAAGGCTACTTTCTTGAAAAACAAGAAAAAGAAATTGACAGTGAATTTTTTTTTTTTTTTTTTTTTTTTTAAAGAAATTCGTTTTTTTCCTTAGAAGGGCCCAGTGCCCAAGGCAAGGCAGGAGCCTGAAGTATTCTACAATGTGCGAGGCAATTTTATGGTTTTTGGAAAACACCAAAGTAATGTTTTATTTGCATGGATGGATCGTTTTGTGATTTAAAATGAATTGAAATGGCACATAAAACAAAGAAGAAGAGCTGTGCACTCGAATTCATGGGTTGGTACGATCTCCTTCAGGTAAGTCTTCATGGTGATGTACCGGGGCAATAAGATGTGTCAACGAACACAGCCACGAGGATGAACAAGTAACGGGTATGCGGATACATTCATCACCATATATATGATGATGCCTCTAACAGGCCATCCGACGGACTCGGAGGCGGTCCTGTCAGATCGACCACAATATTTGCATTTCAAATTATAAGTTCGATTTCTCAGAGCCAAGTTAAGGAAACGAAGTCTGGAAATCAACCCGCCCCCCCTTTCCCCCCCTCCCCCCCTCTCTTCGAGTCCATTTAACTCGACTTCCCGCCCACGCAAAAGCCCGAGCTATCATCTCCAAATCTGTTTTTCTTTTTTTTCCGACGCATCTCATTGAACGGAGGTTGGCATGTTTGCAGTCCCCCCTTGAAAAGTACCAGGCCGTCGATATCCGACGTTCGACGGCCGTACTGCGTCACTCGAGGCTACACGTGATCGGAATCCTGAACGTAGTAGAACACTTCGCCAATGGGTCCACGCCCCAGTAGTGCCTTCTTCCGCACACAAAGGGCACACTCTTATGAGGACTTCGTTTTCTATTCGTTTTTTAACCCCAAAGAATGTAAAATAAAATTTTATTAATCTGGGAAACCGCCCAGGGACGTTGTCCCACTCCCACTGGCTCCCTTGCGCTACACAGGAGGTCAACGTTGGGTTTTCGACGATGTGTGACTCTGTACGCGACAACGGAGATGCACGTCGTCGAAGTCATCTAGGGGTCCGTTTTTAATAAAAAAGGCAATAGAGACTATCTTTGCTTCTCTTACAACAAAATGCAGAAGAAAATCTTTTCTCTCGAATACTACGCCCCCTACCCTCGCCGCTTTCCGTTGAGCTAGCTGTCTCCCTTTTTCGAGACAGCTAGCTCAACGACCCTCTTTTTCCCCCCAAAGGCGTTTTTTTAGAGAAACTGTACCAGCCTCCTTCCGTTTGCCATCTCTGTACAAAAGGGATTCGGGCAACTCAATCTTCATTTTCTGTTCTGTTGTGGAAGTGCCCGTATGCCACTCCAATTGTGAAAAAAGGAAAAATAGAACAATTGTATTTGTGCGACTTATAAATGCTTCTCTTTTTTTTCCCTTTGTTTTTGGAAATTTAAGACATTTATTTCATCAAACAATGGGACGAGGCCGGGGACCTCACAAATGGACCCGGAGTTATCCTTGCAGCCGGGGCCAGTTTCGCTTACTAGCCACGCCAGAAGATCCACCTACTGTTAGATATTCTCTTGGTATGACTGCTCCTGGAAACCTGGTCCAGCGTCCCCCACTAGTTCAACGTAACTTTCCAGTACTATTGGATTAAAGTCTTGGAAAACAAACAATCAAGGTTGATTATATCAATCAAAGTTGATTATATGAAACCAGACAATGCAATTGATAAAGCAGATGGAAGAATTATCATCATGGCGTCCCGGACGCCGAGTATAAAACCTTGAATCGCATATAAAAAAAGGTGGACTGCCTGTGCAGTCAGAGCTACCCTACCCAGCCCCTAGGGTACAAATCTTTCAGAATAAAGCCTACCTAGCCGCTGAGATCATAAATTCGTTTTCTACTATGCAAAACTGCCAGAGGGAGAGGCGGCGGTGGGTACAAAACTCAGAAGTGGATTTCCTTTTCCTTTTTCCCATCATCAGTCATGTGTGTCTGACAGCCAGTTACAGAGTTTTACCCTCCCTTCCGTGTTGAAGAAAGCCAGTCTCCCATCCTTGGCCCAAGTTTTCTGAAATCTCACAAAGTTCATCGATTGGCCATCTGTTCGAATAATCCTTCTTATTCCTTGTCTGACCAGGTGTTGTTGCAGCGAAGTTACTTCTCCCTTGAAGGCTCTGGCATCTCTGGCCTTTCATATCACTTCCGTTAAGACCCCTCTACAGCAGAGGGCCATATACCCCCACTCGTTTGAAATTGAATTAGAATGAATTTTGTTAACTGTAAAACGAGAATGAATTTTGTTAACTGTCGCGCGCACCGTTGAGCTGCCTCAACAAAACGGTGCGAGTGGGACAAGGCCCCAGGGTCTGGTCCCACCTACAGCCTTGAGTTTTCTCAACGCTGAGCTTTCTATCACGTGTGGCATTTCTATAAAGTAGGAGAGCTCTGCCGTTGATGTATTATTGCGAATTTGCGATCGTAATAATGGTAACCGAAATACAGCGGAAAAAAAAAAAAAAGATTTTGTAGTTTTGTAGATTTTTTATTTCATGGGCCCTTTTGGTTTGGGCGGGAAACCATTTTCCATTGAGAAAGCTACTTTTTTTCTTTTTTTTTCTTTTTTTCTTTTCTAAGCGTACATTTCTCAACGGCAGTGCCTTCCCTTTTGTTTGGTTTTTGAGACATCCTTACATCCTGTAACGGAGGGACTCTGACAAGTGTGTTTGGCTGGCTGGCATCAAACTCGTTTCCATATTTGGGTAGTGAATGCATTTGGCCATCCACGTTGTCCCTGTCCATTTCACAAATGGTGACCTCCTGTCCCCTCGCCACGGGGAGTATCCCTATTTCACGGAGACAATAAAAAAAGGCCTGAAAGGCCGTCCTGTCCAGATTTGACAGGTAATTGAATTGGTTGGGCTTAAAGAATTAGCCTTTCTAAAACAGGAAAAAAAAAAAAACAAAAAAAAAACAGAAAAGCTATTGCACTATTGGTGGATGGTGCGGTGTGACCAGCCAAGTACCAAATCCCCCGGGGCGAGGTCCCACTAACAAAGAGGATTGGATAAATCCCCTGAATCTGGACGTGTTTTAAGCAGAGATGCAGAAAAGCAGTTTTATTGATCTCGATTTTCGGTACCTTTCCACCGAAAAGCCCAGATTCAGGCTTTCAATTCAATCCATGTTGCTAGTGAGACCTAGGTGACTAGAAATGTAAGGGTGGGACCCTACGGATCGCCCCACAGGTCGAGATCCTGACACCCAGCCCTTCTCACCTGAGATGTAATGTAGGGTACGTGTAAGGTCTTCCTTACGGGCTGTGGAATTGCAAAAAAGAGTGAAGAGAGGTAGGGCCTCGCCACACCACTCTTGAAACTGCGTTTTCAAGAGTTTGACGCGTCGCCACACAGCCACTTGAGAGTTGTAGCCCGAAAATCCTTTTGAGAGTTGTCAAACTCCAGAACGCCCTGCAGCCTGCAGCACCGCTCTTTTCAAGCATCCTCCCGAGAGCACTCGAAGGGCCTTTGATTTTTGAGAGGTGTCAGGCCGTTATCCTGACTCCATTCGGAAAAAACAAAGCTATATGACTGTCGTTTTTCATCATTTGTCCAACGCCATCGCCCTTTCGAGAGTGCTTTGTGGCGAGGGGCCCGAAACTCTTGAAAACCCAACTCTTGAGAAAGCAAAAGGCCCAGCAACAGGAGAGGGTAGTAGTACGGGATTACCGGCTGCTGTTTATGGACTGGACGACGATAGAACCCTCCTTCCCGCTACGTCCCTCGATGGACTTCCCCGATCCCTTCCCCCCTCACCTACTGGCTCTTGTCGAGTCCCTTGTTTGACCTGACCCTGCCAAGATCTCACCCG